CAAGACGAGACAGCCAAATTAGTCTCAACTCAAATTAGTCTGACAAACTCAAATTTTTCTTACAAAGGACATATAGGTCTCGTGAACTTTGCAAGAAATAACACTCAACATAAGAAAAGTTACTTCGAAGACTACGAATTTAGTGAATGATTGGCTTAGAGAACTTGGTGATGATGATGGTTTTTTGTTTTTTATAGTTTTTAGTATTTAATTAATTTTTTTTTTATTAATTTTGTTTTATATTTCAGTTTCTTGCAAATGTTATTTTAAAATATACTTTTAAAAATATTGGTTCATATAAGTTTTTAAAAAGATACACATTGATAGATAATTTTAATAAATTTATTTCTTGTATTCGTCTGACATTTATCAGATATAGTCAGATATTTAATAAAGCTTCTCGCTACTAATGCAAATGACAAGCTAATTTTAAGAATAATTTTGCAATTAAACAAAGTACTTAGAGTATTTCCAAAAGCTATTTCCAAAAACATATTTGTAACACTTGAATATTTATCAAAAAAAAAAACATTTCAATAACATCTTGTAACAATATTGTAGGCTTGACAACTTCTAAACTTCATGTAAGTAGGTATTGTTATATCATTAGGGAGGTGTCATTAGGGAGAGCCTTATTGCAGTATTTTGAAGATGGAAAAATTATTAAAGTAGAATAATTCTACCGAAAGTTATAACTTATAGTTTTGAGTGTCTAGTTTTCGATATATGGATTTGTTAAATAAATGGTTACCAAATTTAGAGTTTTCCTTAATTTTAAATGTTAATATAACTTTGTAGTTATGTTAATGTTATTAGGGTTTCTAGGCGAGCTTATTTTTATGAAATTTGGCAGGTAGCAAGAAAAAAGGTTTTTGCAGAAGTCTGAATATATTAGAAAAAAGTCTCAGCATTCCTTCAATACATGCCTAATGCACAAACAACAAGAAAGTTTTAAACAACAATAAATTCATTATAAACAAAATTTTACCAAAAAGGTTTCCTTGCGGAATTAAAGTTAAACTATTCTAGTACTCAAAAAAAACGATGTCGATACAAATTTCTAAATAACACAGCAAAACATGTTCATACCATGCCACTCTTTAAAATATAGTAGGCATTATTTGAACGCGCGTACAACTAATTTTTTTCTTATTTGTTCGCGCGTATTCATTTAAAATTCTTGTTTAATTTAGCCTAATAATTTTTTTATATAAATTAAAATAATTTATAAACCCAATTTAAATAAATATTAAAATATTCTTTTGTTTTAAAGAATGCCTGTTAAAACCTAAACCCTCAGTAGATGTATATACACTCCACTGCGCCTATCCCTATTTAAGTCAGTCGATGCATGTAGACGCTACTGCGCCTATGTCTTTTTTAGTCTATCGATGTTTGTACACTCCACAGTGCCTCTCCTTAAGTCAGTATACTCCACTGCGACTACATCTAAATCAGTCGATTTATTTATGCATTGATGCTCATATACTATGAAACTTTGAATGATGAAAATAAATGATAAACATAACTATAAATAAGCAACAATGATAATAAAAAAAACATAAAACTACTTAGAATTAAAACATTAAAATCAAAAATATTTCCTATAAAGGATTTAAACCTCCAAAACTAATAAATCGCATCACAAAAGAAAATGATTTTAACACCTATACCCATTTTAACACCTAGCACCACGTCGATATAACTGTTAACCAAAAACTGCTTTTACTCAGCGTTTTTAGAGTAATTGTTCAGCTTTAAGTAAATAAAATTTTGATCTAAATTGCTCAAATTACGTAAATAAATTTTTTATCTAAATTGCCCGCAATATTAGGTAGAGCGCAAATATAATTAAATTTTTCAACAAAAACAAATTCACAACATGCTAAAGTAAATATAAGGAAATTTCTGATATAATTTTACATTTATTGCAATTAATAAACTTTATAATCTAAACCAAAATGTAAATAGAACACTGTTTCAGTTGCCTACCCCTATCATTTTATGATTGATTTCGAAAGAGAATTTCATGCTGATTAAGAATCGTATAAAAATATTGACCTGAATTTTTGAGGTCAATATTTTTATACGATTTTAAAATATTTTTATAAAGCAGCCGTGGCGCAGTGGTAACGTACTTGTCTGAGAAACGTAAGATCCGTCGTTCAAACCTTACCTCTCGGCAAGTTTTGTGACATCGGTTGGCAAGGAGGCGTGAACTTCCTATTAAATGCTCTTTCGCGGTGCTCTGTGATAAGATTGTAAGGACTTCTTGGGGCACCTAAATCAACAAAAAAAAAAAGAAAAAAAAAAAGGGTTTTAATAAGCAGGAAAATTTTCCAATAAATAATAAACGCCCCCCCCCTTTTTTTTTTATTAAGGACTTGAGATTTGGAAAATAATAAACAACATTTTTTTAAAAACAATTTGTACAGGATTTTGTAAACTGATTTGCTTAAAACAATCTGAAAATCATAAGTATTGTTATGGAATTCAATTCTTGTTAATAAAACACCTTCAAATATTTTAAAACAAGCAAAAAAATTGCAATTGTTCTGTTTATATATGTCTATAAATCACTAGCTGGAGATTTTACTAGAGATGTTATTGCAAAATTCACGAAATGGCAAATGTCTAAATAACAAGCATTAATTTAAAAAACATTTGGAAAATCTTTGTCCTTCATATATAAATAGTTCCATAAAAAGGCTATCTGGAATACTTTTGTAAACAAAAGTAGCCCAGATAGCCTTTTTATGGAATTATTTATGGAATTTTTTGGAATTTGAACTCTTTATGGAATTATTTACAGTGTTTACAAAATTAATAAACAAACTTGTTAATTAATTTTGTAAGCATTGTTGCAGATCTTTTTGGGATCTGTCACATTTAATTTGCTTATTATGATTTTTGCAATAATGAAGAGAAGATTAAATATTACCATTCATCAATATAGCAATGTTGACAGTATTGCGATAGTTGTTCGCAGTAAGTAACTGAGTTTTATTGAAGATAAAATTCACAAGCCACTGCAACCCCCAATCTTTTATAGAAGTGAGATCAGATTCAAGATTGTCTGCTTGTCCTAATTATCAAAAAAAAAGAAGATTTTTTGTAAAGACTAATGAATATGTTCATCAGCAAATAGAGCCACTTTAGATGTAAGGTTGTCAGAAACATCATTAATGTAGATAAGAAACTTTACAGGACCAAGGATAGAACCTTGAGGTACATCATAAATTATTGGAAATGATAAAGAGTGTTAACCTTTAAGGATGACTTGAATAAAGCAGTTAGAAATAAATGATTTTATAATCTCAAAAACTTAACCAGATACACCATAAGATACTCCATAAAGCAAGCTTGTGGAGAAGACCAACATTTGTTGAAAGACCAAACTTTGTTGAAAGCTTTAGCTATGTTAAGAGCAATAGCCTTGCTGCCTCCATCTAATGCATGACAAAATCTTTCAATCACAGCAGTTAGCAAGTCAGCCATAAAGCAAAAGGATCGAAAACTGTATTGATTGTCTCATTTGACTCAATGTGGGATGTTAGTAAATTGTTGGTCAAAGACTTGAAGACCTTGTTAATAACAGAAAGAAGACTGATTGGACGATAATTGGAAAGATAAAAATGTTCTCCAGAGTTTTAAAGATGATGCCATTTTCCAACAGGCAGGAAATCAAGACTAAGTTGAGCATATATTAAATAGTTTAGAGAGAATTGAAGGGAGTTCTGGAGAACAGTTTTGTAAGACTGTGATAGGAATGTTGAAGAGTTTAATTGAGATATGACTTAAGCAACGGAAGCTGGATTAATTTGAATTCCTAACAATGGGTTAACCTGTTTAATTGGAATGGAAAGAAGAATATGGCTATAAGATTCAAGAGTATAGATAAAAAAGAGTAGAAGAAAAATTATTTGCAAATTGTTCTGCCTAATCCTTAGGAGCATTTATCAGCTGAGAGAGAAATGACTGCTCAAGGACTGTCATAAAGAAAATTATGAAACGAATCAAGTCAGCTATAGGGTAGTAGTAAGTAGTCAGATAATATGGTTATTCCAAAAAACAAATACAATATGAAAGGTATATAGATATTATTGCATAGTCAGAACTACCTAAGGGAGAAAAAAGAGAAACTGAACACAAGCTAGGATCAAAGACAAGACACAAATTAAGAAGTGAAGATAAGCGATTCGAGTTGTCTGAAAAATGAGTCACAAAGTTAACTGAGTTAACTGAAGAG